AAAAATAAGGCAATCGGTTTCCAAACTTTTTTTAAGTAAACTGAACATGTTAGAATTTACAGTGTACATAATAAATTTATAAAAAAATCTATATTGGGAAAAAATAGATATTGATATAAGGATTAATAAACATCTCAGTTCCAAAAAATTTAATATTCTGACTCTTTATTCATGTGTCAGTTTTAACAGAGTTAAGAATCATTATAATCAAGTATATAAAATGTATAAAGGGAAATTTCTAATCCAAATATTATTTTCTATGCTATCTGAAATATTTTGAGGTCTGTACTTACATAAACATAGTTTTTTATCTCTCTTTTGGCAAATTAATTAATCAATAATAAATAATAATAAATAAAGAACAAGTTTATTTGGAAAAAAATTAAAAATCTAAACATTTACATCTACTGTACATGAACACTTTACACTTGGCTGAGTGACTGCATGTTATTGTGTTAAATGATTTTGAATTAAAACGTGTGCGCCAACTAATGCAACTCATAGAAATAAATTAATAAAGTACAATATTATAGTACAAACTGCAAAATAATTTTTTTAACACATTTTTATTAATTGAAACTTTTGATAAGGATAATTTCAAAAATAGTTTTGGCACAATGGCGCCCCCCATGTGTGGCGCCCCTATGCGCTGCATATACTGCATACCCCCTTTTTGCGCCACTGAGGGAAACCGGAGCATCCGGAGAGCCGGGACTCGAACCAGCGACCTTCTTGCTGTGAGGCTACAGTGACTGAGCCACCCTCCTTACATAAACTTATAATAGTTTTCTTGTAAAGCGTATCACAAAGCGACCTTGTGGATGACGTCAGCATGATTATTTACTAAGCACACGGTGATTGGCTTACAGGGAGGGGGAGGAGTCTCTGTCAAGAGATTTATTCATAAAAACTCAGTAGGGCGCGATCTTAATCTTAATATTTCAAGGTAAAATAAATACAAATAAGCTCAAATAAATGCGCGATTTGTTGACATATCCAAATACAAAATAATAATATTAAATTAATTAAGATAAAAAATAAAAATACTGATGCATTTAAATAAAGATTTTAAATTCAGTGAAAACAAATAACAATTCTATGAAGTGTATTATGTTTGAGGGAGTTAACAAAGTTTTTCCTGATCTTCATATGGTTCCACTGTAAAAATTATATGATCAATTAGTCTGGACAACATATGTTTTTAGTTCATTGTAACTTAATAAACTAAGATAATCATGTTCTAACTTAATTTTATAAGTTAGCAAGCTGTTTTAAGTCAGGTTATAATATAATACATAACATAAGTTCAATGGACTTATATTATTTAACAAAGGGTAATTTGTTGTTTTAGCTTAAAAATTTAACGTAACCAGTATTTTTACAGACTATATATATATGTAGTTATTATTCAGTTATATATATATATATATATATATATTGAAGGTTATGCAAAAATACATGAATTTGTAATTACAAAACACATTCTTGCTTTAATGTTGCCTATATGGAAATAAAGAAAACAACATTTAAAGAAATAAATATATTGCACAAAATATCATTATTTTTCATAATGAATTATAATAAAAAACTTTAAAAAAATTATGAGAATACCTTAGCAATTAAGGCAAAAACCTATATACATATAATAAAAATATACATTAAATAGCTATAATATAATTATATAAATACACACACACACACACACACACACACACACACACACACACACACACACACACACACACACACAAACTCATTGTTTTTCTTTCCAAAGCAAAAAAAACGTGCAATTTTAGGATAGTTTGAATAGTTTGTTGGTTTATATATATTATAAATCACTAAAGTTATTTATCACTATACCTTTTTTTGAAGTTTAAAGCTAGCTTTAGAGTTAAAACACTTTGTGAAATACTCTTAAAACTAAATTTAGGACAAGCACTCTCATTATTTTTGCTTTATTTTTGCATTATTTATGGATTTTAAAGAGTTAGGAACTAGTTTTAAAGCTTTAACACTTTGTGAAATACTATTAAAACTAAATTTAGGACTAACACCCTCATTTTGGCAGTATTTATGGCTTTCGCAGAGTTATGGGCTCGTTTTAACACTTAAACACTTTGTGAAATACTCTTGAAACCAAACTTAGGCCCATTATTTTTGAGATTTTCTCTTAAGTCCCCAAGTGAGGAGCTACTTTTAGCCTTAATGTGTTTTGTGATTTCGGGCCCATTCCAGAGCTCAATTGGTTTCCCTTCTGTCCTTTCGTCATTTATTGGTTTGATAAGGAAAGACCGAGCTCGATGCTATTGATCACTGTTAGTTTCAATTAGCGGGTGATTAGAGGAGAACTGCTGACTTACAGTGATCACGAGACCAATAGGAAACTGATAATCATAGTGAATCACTGACACACACACACACACACACACACACACTCACACACACACACACACACACACACACACACACACACACACACACACACACACACACACAATATGATAATCTCAGAAGGCATACTTAATTCCTTGAGCTACTTAAATATGATTATTTTTGTACACAAACGTCATTCTGTCTTGTTATAATAGCCTATTTGTACTTCCAGTCATCTTCCTTTCTAAATATTGACGGAATTAATTAATAACTCTTCATTAAAACAATATTTGTGCTTATATTAACTTAATATGATATGCAACAGCAATATGTTTGCCACACACGAGAGATGTTAGACATGACTTTATTAAAAACACGCCACAACACGAGATCAGAACGTGGCAATTAAGATAATCAGCAATTAAAATTGGCATCTATTCAACATTCAGGTAAATGCATGATTAAAACAACCCACATGATTGATAATAATGAGAAGTATAGTATATATAATTTCGAAAGCACATCTGAGTGAATATTCTAATCTAAAATCAAGCGACTCAATGTTTTGATTATGACTTATTTTTATCTGTATGTTGTCGCCATCTGGCGGATGTGACCATTATTATCATAATACAACAGAAAAGACGCTTTCTACCTATTATATAGGACTAACTAGTATATAATTACTTTATGATCATTTATTCATTTTCTTGTCGGTTTAGTCCCTTTATTAATTTGGGGTCGCCACAGCGGAATGAACCGCCAACTTATCCAACAAGTTTTTACACGGCGGATGCCCTTCCAGCCGCAACCCATCTCTGGGAAATACTTTATTAATTAATTTTTATAATTATTTAGAATTAGTATTAGATTTATATAATTATATGATATGTTTTATAGTAAGTGATGGTTGACAAACTACTTTATCATAAATATTAATGTTTAAAGATTTATTTAAACAAAATTCAGAATAGATTACAGACCTGCCAAGGGTTTAAACAATGACATACACAATGAATTAAATACAAATAAATAAATTTAATAGCCCAACTGGGCCATTTTACACCCCCAGTCTCCCAAAACACAATAAAAATATGCATATTTATTCACCGATCATTTGTCGATCATTATTTTAGGCATAATATAATATATAGCATGCAGATAATTATTATTAATATAATTATTATCATTATTTGTTAATAATAGTAACAACAACAACTGTCCATAATATTAATTGTCAATAATAATAATCATTCATTCATTTATTAATTTTCTTTTCGGCCCTTTATTAATCTGGGGTCCCCACAGCGGAATGAACCACCAACTTATACAGCATCCAGGGAGAACATGCAAACTCCAAACAGAAACGCCAACTGACCCAGCCGAGGCTCATAACAACAAAAACAACAACAAAAAAAAATAATAAAAAATAAAAAATAATAATAATAATAAAAATAATAGTAGTGGGTAGCACAATCGCCTCACTGCAAGAAGGTCGCTGGTTCGAGCCTCGGCTGTTGGTGTTTCTGTGTGGAGTTTGCATGTTCTCCCCGTGTTGGTGTGGGTTTCCTCCGGGTGCTCCGGTTTCCCCCACAGTCCAAACACATGCGCTATAGGGAAATTGATGAACTAAATTGTCTGTAGTGTATGAGTGTAAATGAGTCTGTATGGGTGTTTCCCAGTGATGGCTGGAAGGGCATCCGCTGCGCAAAACATATACTGGATAAGTTGGCGGTTAATTCCGCTGTGGCGACCCCAGATTTATAAAGGGACTAAGCTGGAAAAAAAAATGAATGAATAATAATAATAATAATTTAACGTGGAAATCTGGCACGGAAATCTCGCTTCCGAACATTGCAGCGCATTGATTACAGACGGCTGTGATTGGTCCATCCCGAAGAGCGATGAGAAAAACAACGAGGTTTATCACTTACATAACTAAAGTCCTGAATTAAAAAAAAAACATGATGCCTGATTTATTAAAAACAAAATATGTGCAGCTAAATTCCTCATTTGGTTTTCATTTGTCAATCTATAAACAGCTTGTTTTATGGTACTAAATACATACTCTAATTATTAGTTTTTTTAATAATAATGCGTTTGTTTATATATCCTAATGACATTTTTATTTTATATATTGTTAATTAATTCTAACATTTCTATGTTTTTCTTCAGATATTTCGTACACCCCAGTTAAAAAAAAACAATTCGGTTTTTTTATTATTGCCAAACGTATACAATAACAGGAAAACGAAACAAGCATATCTCTTTAGGTGTAAAGAAATCATATAGAGGGAAAAGAAACAACAACAATAGACAAACTCCAAGCTTTACACGTCTATATCAGTTTGATATCTCATAAACGCGAATGTTGTCACTGTTTTGGTGCGCACTAGACATCCTAAAAACTAACTGATACTAACATCTAAAACATTTTAATTTAATTTCATGAGGCTTTTTTAAAAGTTCTATTTCAGGCTGTTGAACCGTAGATTTAGTAGGACTACATATGCACTATATTTTGTTGAACGCTGACTGCCTGGGTGTCTCCACCAATTGTGTCCCCGTGAAAGCAGCAGAAGAGCGTGTAGTGTTTCAGTGATAAGCGTCCGCCCCCCGATTCTCGCCTCTGGTTGGAGAGCAGTAGTTCCGCCCCCGGTCGCCATGTACCGCTCCGCTCGCTCCCTGCATCGCTTCAGCGCGAGTTTGTCAGATCTGCGGGCCGCTCAGAGATCCATCAAAGCTCGCAACGTCTGTCCAGCACCCGGGCTCCGGCACCAGACCGTCAGAATGGTAAATCACGCAGTGTGAGCGCTGTTTGAGGCGCGAATGAGGAGGACAAACGGACAGCAGATGACCTTCATATCAACGCGCGTACAGATATCAGACTCTCAAACTCAAAACATGTGGATTTACTACAGTATAAACGCGATTTTATCCGTCTAAATTAATCATCTACGCTTTAAATATAGCATTCACGCGTGTTTGGACGTAGAAAGACGGCAATAGTTGATTTGTTTTTCTCTGAGGGGTGAAAACTTTGATTTGTAACTCGAGTTTCTCATGTGTATTGATTTAAATGGTCATAATTCTGAGTTCATAATGTGATTTACTGGTTGTTGTTGTTGTTGTTGTTTCAGGCCAGTTCAGAGGCATTTCGGATTGAGAGGGACACATTTGGAGAGCTTAAAGTCCCCTCTGATAAATACTATGGAGCTCAGACTGTCAGATCCACCATGAACTTCAGGATCGGAGGAGTCACGGAGAGGATGCCGGTGATTTATCTCTAATATTAGAGGAATATTTTACATTGGGGTGCAGTTGGTTTCATATTCGCACATTTAAACATTATCCTTATTCATGTAATTGCAGAAAAGCACTCTTTGCTTCTAATAAGGAAATCATTGGAGCCAATGACTATCAAAGTAGAGTACAACATTGTTTACAGTTAATCAAATAGTGCTAGTGTTGTTTTGAAGTCATGCCATTTCAGCCTGAATATTAAAAATAACGTGGTAAACAATATAGGGAGGATGTCACGAGTTGTCTGAACGAATGTGCGAATATAAAAACCAACTTTACCTCAATTTAGTTCACTTCCAGAATGAACATTTCCTCATTATTCATACGCTGAGGTGAAGTTGGTTTTATATTCACACATTCTGACTTGATATAATTTCAGAAACGTGTTCTTTGCGAGTTGTATATAGGGAAATCATATTAGCAGCCAATGACTATCAAAGTACAACACTGTTCATAGTCAAGTAGTACTAATGTTGTTTTGAAGTCATACTTGCATGTGATTTCAGACTGAATATTCAAAATAGCGTGGTAAACAATATAGAGGAGCGTTTCATAAGTTGTCTGAACAAATTTGAGAATATAAAAAACAACTTTACCAGATTGAACATTTCCTCATTATTTAAATTGAGGTAAAGTTGGTTTTGTATTTGCACATTTGGACTTTCACGTTCTTTATATCATTTCAGAAAATGATTCTTTGCAAATTCTAAGTGGGAAAATCATATTAGCAGCTAATAACTATCAACACTGTTCACAGTTAATTCAATAGTGCTAATGTTGTTTTGAAGTCATGCCATTTCAGACTGAATATTCAAAGTCGCGTGGTAAACAATATAGGGAGCATGTCACGAGTTGAACGAATGTGCGAATATAAAAACCAACTTTACCTCAATTTAGCTCACTTCCAGAATGAAAGTTTCCTCATTATTTATATTGAGGTTGGTTTTATGTTTGCACATTTAGATTTTCACCTTCATAATATCACTTTAGAAAAGTGTTCTTGGCAAATTCTAAATAGAGAAATAATATGAGCAGCCAATGACTCAAGTACAACATTGTTCACAGTCAGTTAAATAGTGCTAATGTTGTTTTGAAGTCATTCTTGGATGCAATATTAGATTAAATATTCAAAGTGGCAAATAGTCACTATTCAAAAATGAATGTATGTGCAAATATGAAACCAACTTTACCCTTATTTACTCGCCCTTCTCTTCTTGATTTATTCTTTCAAGATATTTACTTCTATTTTTAGAAGATATTTACTAATATTTATCTTTGGTTCAGAGGAAATGTATTTTTTCTTTTATCTCTGCAGATTCAGGTGATCAGAGCTTTCGGTATCCTGAAGAAAGCTGCTGCAGAAGTCAATAAAGATTACGGTTTGGACCCAAAGATCGCAGACGCCATCATGAAAGCTGCTGATGAGGTGATTAATCCATAATGCTGGATTTCTGATAATCTGGCAACCTGTATTGTTATTAAAAACAACCTGATTTTGTCAAAAACAATACACAGTTAGTGGAGAAAATAGCCTTTGTTATGGTATTAGATGTTGCTAATTTTCATTATAAGATGCATAAAATAATTTTGGTGAAATTATAATATAATGAGAAGTAGATGCAATAAATACATTAAAATAAAACATTTTAATAAAGTAAAAATTATATTGTATAATAATATTTATCTATATTTATATGTATTTCATTTCTATCTAAATATAAATAAACATTCTTAAATATACATATGCGCGTGTGTGTGTGTGTGTGTGTGTATATATATATATATATATATATATATTATGTCAATACAATACAATCATTTTGGATGCAATTAATTTGTGTGTTTTTGTTTTCCTCCAGGTGGAGTCTGGGAAACTGGATGATCATTTCCCGCTGGTTGTTTGGCAAACAGGATCCGGAACTCAGACTAACATGAACGTCAATGAGGTGATCAGTAACAGAGCCATCGAGATGCTGGGAGGAAAACTGGGCAGCAAAGACCCCGTTCATCCCAATGACCACGTCAACAAGAGCCAGGTTACAAACACACACACACACACACACATACAAATTGACATGCACACAAATATACATACTCAAAAAAACACACATACAACCAGATACACAACATACAAACACATCAACATACACACACACACACAATTATAAACATTTAAACACACAAATACAACAAGATACACAATACACACACACAAAACCACATACACTCACAAATACACACACACACACACACACACACAAAACCAGATACACCCACAAATATACAAGCATACAACCAGATACACAACATGCATACACAAACACACCAACATACACACACACACACACATACAACCAGACACACCCACACACACACAAATAAACACATTTAAAGACACGCATGCAACCAGAAACGCAACACACACACAAGCACACAACCACATACACATACAAATATACACTCAAAAACACACATACAACCAGAAACAAAACATACACATACAAAAACACAGACATGTACATTCAACCAAACACACAACCATAAACGCCTACAACCAGACATGCACACAAATATACACACTCAATACAACCAGATACACAACATACACACACAAACACATACATTTAACCAAACACACAGACACACACACACACACACACACACACACACACACACACACACAAACAAACTTGTAAACGCGTTACCAGATACCCTAACTTGCCTAATTAACCTAGTGAAGCCTTTAAATGCCACTTTAAGCTGTATAGAAGTGTCTTGAAGAATATCTAGTCTAATATTATTTACTGTCATCATGACAAAGATCAAAGAAATCCGTTATTAGAAGTGAGTTATTAAAGCGTATGTAATAACAGCACTTGGGAAGCACATAAAAAATCTTAAAAGGCTAATAATTATGTTTGTAAATGCGTTGTTGTGTGTTTCAGAGCTCCAATGACACGTTCCCCACAGCCATGCACATCGCTGCTGCTAAAGAGGTTCACGAGGTGCTCCTGCCGGGCCTTCAGACGCTTCATGATGCTCTCGCTGCCAAAGCTGAACAGTTCAAAGACATCATAAAGATCGGCCGCACACACACACAGGACGCCGTGCCGCTCTCGCTCGGACAGGTACAACTACACACACACACACACACACACACACACACACACACACACACACACAACAGAAATCACTCATCCAAAAACAATACATTTTAGGCCAAACATGGAGCTGGCATAAGCTCTAACTTTAACCAGTATCCCCATCAGACGACTCTGTTCAGCCTCTCCACTGAACAGAGCCTCTCCACCTTATGAATGGTTCCCATATTTTAGAAAATTAACGTTTCTTATTCTGTAAATGGTACCGTATTCATTGTAAATGGAGTGTCTTTTTGCTGAGTTTTACTGAGCCACAACTTGAAAGAGGTAGACCCACTCTGCACAGATTGACTGTAAATGGTTATGTGTGTGCGTTTGTGCAGGAGTTTGGCGGGTACGTGCAGCAGGTGAAGTACAGTATTGCGCGCGTGAAAGCGTCTCTGCCGCGTGTGTATGAGCTGGCAGCAGGAGGAACCGCAGTCGGCACTGGACTCAACACGCGCATCGGCTTTGCAGAGAAGGTGGCAGATAAAGTGTCTGCACTTACAGGTAGGCATGGGACGGTGTAAGATTCTGACGATTTGATAACCATAGACAAAGATATCAAAGTACTGCTCTGAAATATCATCTTTTTAAATATCTGGATAGAAAACAGCAACGTTTTCCCCATTGAACACAATATATTTTATTTTAAGCAACATTTAAAATATTTTGGCAGAGCAAACCTATCAGGCTAATGGACTTCTGCTGTCTTCATTAGTTTCAAAAACACTGATTTCTTAAAAAGGCATTTTTGGAGATCTTTTGTTTCTGTGGATATGAAGGGCCCTATCAAACACCCGGCGCAGTGTGGCGCAAGGCGCGACGCAATAGTAGTTTGCTAGTTTCAGCTTGGCGCAAGAGTCGTTTTGAGGCGTTGCGCCACACTGTTTAAATAGCAAATGCATTAGCACTCATATGTGGGCCCACAGGTGTTCTGCTCTATAAAGGAAGGCGTTCTGAGGCGGACCGCTGGCGCGTTGCTATTTTGAGAAACTATAATAGATTTTTCATTAGACCAAAACTAACCCGGTCTAAACTCCAGCGCAGAGTTGCGCCTCGCTTACACACTGCTTAATACACACAAGAGAGCAAAAGGCAAATATCTTTACATATGAAAAAATGTAAATATTAAGGATATATATAGGATATAATAAGAATAGATATAGGATATAAATATAAAGGATTAAAATATTACAAAACATATTATTTTCTAGCCTAAATAAATATGAAAAATCACTGCTTTCATGTCTTCTTCATCTCGGGAGGCTTTTTCAGTTCATTCATAACAATTTGCTTTTGTATAATGTTATAATTATTAGCAGTATTATTTATTATATCCATATTTATATTTGTTTTATTGAAAACTAGCTTAGATTTGTCCACCTGCAGGTTTCCATATGGGGCACAGCATGTGTTTTAGGATATAACTCAGGTTTTTGAGCACACTTCATTATTATTGTTCATTTATTCGTTTGCTGGAAATTAGAACTGAATTTAGAAATAGTTTTGACACAAATCTTTGCGCCATCTAGTGTGTTTGTGTGTGTATTCAGCCTTCCTCCTCTCTCCATTGGCAGGTCTTCCGTTCGTGACCGCAGCCAATAAGTTCGAGGCTCTGGCGGCTCATGATGCTCTGGTGGAGCTGAGCGGCGCTCTAAACACTGTGGCCGTGAGCATGATGAAGATCGCCAATGATATCCGCTTCCTCGGCTCTGGGCCTCGTTCAGGTCTCGGAGAACTCAACCTGCCAGAAAACGAACCCGGATCCAGCATCATGCCCGGTGAGTGACAGGCCAGACAGCCAATCAGAGGATTACCGAGGACATCAGACATGATGTAGAATTTCAAGTTAGATGATTTATAATTGCATTAAGGGGTTTAAACTCAGTTGTGTCAGCAGTGTGTAAATAAAACCAGCTTCTAATGGTAAACATTAATTAATTGTATTGTTTATAATCAGACTTGATAAAAACAGAAACGCTTTGATTGGCTTTCTCCCTTTGTATGTGTCATTAAAGGGGGGAAGCCCCGCCCACTAGTGCCCATCTCTCCCTCATTAGCATAAACAGCAGCCCTGAGTGAGAAGCAGCCGTCTGTCCATTCGCCATTAGAGTGTTTGAGCTGCTGAAGATAATGTCAGCATAGACTAAGAGGATTATAGATGTGGAGTTTTAGATGAAGCGCAAATGAACGGCGACAGGAGTCTCCATAGACTGACTGAAGCACACACTCACACTGAAGCACACATGCACACCTGACCAGCACTGAGAACACTAGTGCGGTTTTCAGTCTGCCACTATGCTGACACAGGCGTTTATAGCTCTGCTCTCTTTTGAAAAGAGCACAATCTCATTTGCATTGAAAGCGACAGTCACCAAAATGCCACAATTAGGATCAAAGCCTAAAAGGGTCAGTTTTAGAGAGGTATGAAGCAGTATTTGTGTGCAATATTGAGCTGAAACTTCACTATTCACTCTAGGGACATCAGAGACTTTTCATTTTGTAAAAATTGGCACAATGGGTCTCCTTTACCTCCTACCTCACCAAAAAAAAACCTATAATTTGACATTTAACTCATTAGAATCACAGATGTGTGTGTGTTTTGAGTTCTCTTTAATGATCTGCTATTAATCACACACTGTCACCTGTGCCAGGTAAGGTGAACCCGACGCAGTGTGAGGCCATGACTATGGTGGCCGCTCAGGTGATGGGGAATCATGTGGCCGTTACTGTCGGGGGAAGCAATGGACACTTCGAGCTCAATGTGTTCAAGCCCATGATCGTGAGTCGCATTTAAAAACTACTAATCTGAAACTCCTCTTCACTGCAGCCACACATTTACTGCATTTAGGGTGCATGTTTACAACGCCCATATTAGGGTTGAGCGATGTCGACCAATTCTGCATTGCAAAATGTCGAATGTGGATGATGCATTTTTAGTTCAGTGTTTCAAAATGTGCTTAATGATAGGTGGATCAAAACATTGCTGATGATAGATTTTTCCCCTATTTTCATGAAGCTTTATTGTGTGTGTTTTCAGATTAAGAACGTGCTGAACTCGGCCAGGCTGCTGGGCGATGCTTCGGTCTCCTTCACTAATAACTGCGTGGTCGGCATCGAGGCGAACACCGAGAGGATCAACAAGCTGATGAGCGAGTCTCTGATGCTGGTCACCGCCCTCAATCCACATATAGGTAACACCCAGCAGAGGGCGCTCACATTCACTCAGTTTAGAACAGGGATGGCCAATCCTGTTCCTGGAGATCTACCTTCCTGCAGATTTCAGTTGCAACCCTTATCAAACACACCTGTCTGTAATTATCAAGTGGATTTCAGGTCCTAATTAATTGGTTCAGGTGGGTTTGATCAGGGTAGGAGCTAAACTGTACAGGATAGTAGATCTCCAGGAACAGGACTGAGCACCCCAGGTTTATATGGTCTGGAAAACAGCACTAGTGCTGGAGAAGTTTGGGGGAAAATAAATAATCTCATTGACACTAATACCTGTATGAAAATTTGTTTAATTGGTTACTTACAATCTCAAAATGAGATTTCTTAAATTACAGTACAATACGTTCAAACAGGCCCGGCCCTAACCAATTGGCACCCTAGGCAAGATTTCAGGAGGCGCCCCGTCGCATCACTATAAATTCCACTGCTAGTGTAAATATACTCATAAGAAACTAAATAGCTTTCTCTTGGACGTTCTTTTATTTAAATAAAGCAATTGCACATTCAAAATACTTAGAAGGATTTGCAATGGTGTTACTGAGAAACCTTAGCAGCGCATTTAAAGACAGAAGAGGAGTATGGGATGCCACTCTAATAATAAACACTTGATTTTAAGAATAAGATAAAATGAAATAATATAAATGAAGACCTAAAGATTAGGGTTGGGTACCGCCATTATAGCACGGGTACCTTGGTAACCGGTATATACTGGTATTAAATCTGCGAATGAATTTCGGTGCTGCGGCAAGGACCTAAGAAGCATCAAAGGAGTGCATGAAATAAGGCACACATGGGCGTTGTGTCACAGCATTACCAAACATTTAATTCTAAACAACTTTGAGGAATACTCACAGGCGATATCAGGCGTTTGTTATTGTCGCTTGGGAACAGACGCACGCAACGTAGGCCTAGTACAGTGCATTCAGCCTGGTTTTCGGTGAGCGAGAGCGACACTCTTCAGATCTACACGCGTGATCACGTTCATCCAATTTGCTTAAACTAAGCATTCTAAAGCGTATTTTACAAGCAAGGATTCTTACAGCAACTGTCTTTACAAAAGTTGCGTGTAAGAGGGAAACATGTCAAACTTAATGACACATTTGAGGGCTCAAAGGAAGAGGAATGCCTCTCTCGCGTGCTTTAAGCCTGGTTTATACTTCTGCGTCAATTGACCGGAATAACCCACGGCGCATGCGACGCGTGTGGCTGTGCATTTATACGTCTGCGTGCTGTCTCTGTTGGTCTGCATTAACACTTCCGAAACACTAGTTGGCAGTGAGGTGTAAATGTTCCTCTGTGTCGAGTTTCTTCTCTGCTGTTTTGCTTTTCCTGAACACTTCCGGGATGTACAAGTGGCTCAAACTCGCTCATTTTGAGGCAGGAACCGGCGGACGTGCAACAACTTTAACTATGAGGTAAACACAAAACAAAACTTTCCATCTGTAGCTCCTTCACGGGACTCCACACTTGTAAACAATCGCTCCATCAGGCTCGCACCATTCATGCGGCTCTCGGCCCCGCCCAGACTCGTCATTGTTACCAAGCCGACCAATCACAGAGCTTACGCTACGCGTCATTGCGACGTGTAGTTACATTTTTTGAGAGGTGCACTTGGGCTATGCGTCAGCGCCGTAGCATACGCCGGCGTTTGATGCAGAAGTATTTAGGTGTCACACGCAATCGCTCCCTCGCACTCCCTCTGTTTTCGCGACACTTGCTCTCTCTGTGACGGTGCTGCGCGCATCAGTTCCCCGCATTCGTCAGTTGACGCCCAAATTGACACAGGTAATAAAAAGATTAAACTTCAGTCATGTTCATGTTGTGAAACACTGTCAAAATTGATGATATTAGACTTCTGTTTTCAATAACGATTTTAACACAGTTAATATAGGAAATCCTCGGCTAAGCAGAGACCATTATTAATCAGTAATATTGTGTACATAGTTTAACGTTAGGAAATGCAGTCTTGAATTTACAAACAGTCGGCAAATACCAAAGAACAGATGTTGATGTTGAACATTGATCAGATGTAGTTTTCAGTCACATTCAACTCGTTTAGTTTTGCCTTCATTCATTTTTGATTTGCGTCTTCAACACATGATTTATTTACAGCACATTTTTAAACATAATAGTTTAACTAACTCATTTAATATCTACTTTTTTATCTTCCCCATGCTGACAGTCAGTGCAGAACATTTTACTAGTTATTTTGCAAGACAGTCGTATTCAGACAAAGTCCCTTTAAGTATTTTATAGTCTTTTATTCAGATTAAAGTGTAATTTAGACTTTATCAGTTAACTACGAAAGTTAAAATAATTAGTCGAATTATTTTGTAACTGATTTGTTGTGTAAATCAAAAATATACTGTAAATATTTCTTAAGGAGGCTTATAATATTGACCCCATTTAAATTAAAAACGGCTTTTATGCACGAAATAGACAATAAAAAATAGGACTTATTATGACTTATATAATTATAATTAAAAATTAAAAATATAATTATTTTTTAGGAAACACTGTTAAAGTGCTCCTCAAAGTACGTGGCCCCTGCCCACCCCCACAGGTTATTAGTAAGCTAATGTAATTTCATAATGCAAATCTCCTCACATTTCATAAGTTCGACGTGTTTTTCCCCTACACGCAACTTTTGTAAAGCGTCTGCTTCACGTTGCGGTCCACTGTACTGCGCGTTTTGTGTGTGTGTGTCATCTCTGATATTATCTTCTGTCTGTGACTGTGCAGGTTATGATAAAGCCGCAAAAATTGCGAAAACCGCTCATAAAGACGGTTCGACTCTGAAAGAGGCGGCGCTGAAGCTGGGATTCCTGAACGAGCAGCAGTTTGAGGAGTGGGTTCGACCTCATGACATGCTAGGCCCAAAGTAAAGGAGAACAGAGCTGAAACACACGCACACCAGTAAAACACTTGTGGATCACCGTTCACAGACGGGGTTTGTGCTGGAGGTATTATTCTTCAGAGTCCGTGTGTTCCCTGTGAATGCATGACTGTGTTTCTTTTTCATCCCAAAATCTGAGGAATAAAATAACCGGGGGAGAAAATGTCTGTGTCTGCAGCTCGGTGTTGTTTTTCTGCATGGTTAAGGTGTTATTAAAGTTTTAATATATAGTTATTTTTTAATGGTTTAATTAATTTATTATTTTTATCAATTTATTTTTTCGTCAGTTGTTTTAGTTTTTTGTGTTATTCATCAAGAAAGTTTTTAAAAGTCATTTTTTCAATATTTGAATATCACAAATTATTAATTTACATTTAAAAAAATTTAATAATTTAGTTTTTGCTATTATATTTTTGATAGATTTTTTAAAATCTTTTTTTTTTTCAAATTTAATCATTTTATTAGTTTATTTCAGATTTGTTTTAATGCTTTAAAAAATTATATATATAAAAAAAAAAAAAAAAAAAAATATATATATATATATATATATATATATATATATATATATATATATATATATATATATAATTTTTTATTTTACAAAAAAATATTAAAGGCCCAATGAACCAGAATCTCTGATCGTTATTCTTTTGATATTGTGCATAGTTCCTAAAGAAACTGAATGTTAAATGAGTTAACAGTGGGCGTGGCTTGTTTTTTCTCCTGACAGCTGATTGGATGTAGTAAATAGACATTTCATTCAGAAAGATGGGGAAAAGGGTTTTAGGAGAGTTATTACAAACCAACAGACTCCTCCTCCTCCTCACCATTTCTGTTAGATGTCAAAACTGACAGCTGGAGGGGCGTGGTTAAATATGTTAACCCCGCCCAATATCTCAGACAGCCCTTATCTGAGAACTTAACTGAAAACAAACAGGAAGAGCATTTGCAGATTTCAATTAAAGATTACAAGAGCAAACTATTGTTTTTCTTAATTCCATACACAGATGAATTGCTCACCACAAAACTAGCAATGTGAGCTAACAGAATCATATTGTTGGTTTTGATTTCTTGGGGACTTTAAATGTTAATAAAAAAATTATTATTATTATTTTATATATTATTATTTTTGAAAATGTAAAAAAACCTAAGGATACCTAAATATAATTGACATTTTTTATGTTTTAGTCAGGTAGTTGGGTGTGTTGGCTTTTTTTTATTTTTTATTTTTTATCAATTTTTATTTTTATTTGAGATATTTTAGTCAATTGTAAATGCTTTTTTCAAATACCGTGACATACTATCTTAATGGAAATAAGATCGTAAGATAATAATAAGTCTTAAGTCTTATTAAGACTTATTAAGTCTTGATAAGTAGATAGTATCTCACAGTATTTGAAAAAGCATTTACAATTGACTAAAGTAACTCAAATAAAAATAAAAATTTATTAAAAAGAAAAGTCTTAATGAAAAAAATAAATAGTAAGAAGAAAAAAGCAGTAAGTAACCTTTATAAAATAAGAAAGATTTAATTTGTTTGTCTTATTATGTAAACATGAAATTTAAATAAGCAAATATATTTGAAAACTCTACAAATCATCCTAAAATCTGAAGAATAAAACAGCTGCATGGTGAAAATATGGTGTCTGCATTCATTCATTCATTCATTTTATTTTCAGCTTAGTCCCTTCATTAATCAGGCGTCGCCACAGCGGAATGAATCTCCAACTTACCCAGCATATGTTTAATGCAGTGCATGCTCTTCCAGCTGCAAACCAATACTGGGAAATGCCCATACACTCTCACATTCACACCAATGGCCAGTTTAGTTTATCAATTCCCCTATAGCGCATGTGTTTTGACTGTGGGGGAAACCGGAGCACCCGGAGGACACAGGAAGAACATGCAAACTCCACACAGAAATGACCACTGACCCAGCTGCGACTCGAACCAGAGACCTTCTTGCTGTGACTTTCATTGTAAAATTATTATTTATGTTTAAATGCCAACTTTTTTCATTCATTTATTAACATTTAATTAATTTATTTTAATTTATTAATTTATATTAATTTATTGAAAAAATATTTATTTATTGTAATATATTTTATTTTATTTATTTGAAATTAATTAATTAATTGTTATTCATTTTACATTGATTTAAATTTTATTTTAATTGTTCTTTATTGACATTTATTTTCATGGTAAAATTATTTGTTTAAATGCCAACTTTTTTCATTCATTTTTAATTTATTTACATTTAATTAATTTATTTTAATTTATCAATTTATTTTAATTTATTAAAAATTATTTATTTTTTGTAGAATATTTTATTTTATTTATTTGAAATTAATTAATTAATTAATTAATTAATTAATTGTTATTTAATTTCATTTATTAAAATTTATTTTTAATTTTTCTTTATTGACATTTATTTTTAGTGTAAAATTATTGTTTAACCTCTACTTTGGTTGGAAAATCTGAGGTAACTTCTGGGGTATGTTAAGTAGCCACAGCAACCTACTCTCTAAAGATAACCTGCTCCGGAGGAGGTTATCTTCAGAGAGTAAGTTGCTATGTTCCAGAGTTTGTCTGTTTTAACTGGTAAACAGGTTTTGGGTCAATCAACCGAGAGTTCAGGGTTTAGCAGTTGGTAAGTTAACCCAGCTTTCTGGAATACCCCCCCCTGGAGGGCTGGTGTCCTGCATAGTTTATATCCAACCCCAATCAAGCTTTTCGTAGGCTAACTAGAACTGTTCTGGCAGGTGTGTTGAGGCAAGTTGGAGCTAAACTCTGCAGGACACCGGCCCTCCAGGACAGAGTTTGGACACCCCTATTCTAGTAGACTGAAACTGTGTCAGTCCAGTTTTCAGTTCAGTGTGGTTTAATATTCAATACTGAGAGTCCAAACACTGAAGAGCAAATCCATCGATGTGCAGCTCCACAAGTCCCAAACCCAGCAAACCAGAGGCGGAACAAACTTCACCAATTGACCAAAGTGAAGGATAAAAAAAACCTGGAGAGAAAGCAGGCTCAGCTGGACACGACCATTTCTCCTCTGGTCAAACATCTTGTGCAGAGCTGCAGTCTAGAGGCTGGAGAAAGCTGGACGTCCATCGTGGAGAAGCTGCAGGAGAGAGAGGT